TTTGGAGATGTTCCCTCGTAAGCCATTTTTAGATATATTTTTCATTTGTCATTATAGATTAACGGTTTTATCTTTATATAGGTAAAAATTCAAGCAGAATTCCATAGACATAATTTAAAGACTACTAGAAGTTATTTAGACAAAATTCTAAAAGTTATTTTTTATCAAAAAAACAACATTGACTAGCTTTTTTGCGTATATTTCTTCGTAATATTAATTGAATGTTTGGTTGAATTGTTTTTATCATTTCAGTATAAGAAAGTGATGAAAACTAAGTCTCATAACAATTTTTATTTTCTTATGAGCACACGTTTTCTGTTCTGTTGATAGGAATTTTCTCTTTCTATTCTTGACTAATATATTTTTTTCTTTCTGTTCAGTCTCTATGCATTCTTTCTCGCTACATATATTTAGCTGAATATTTTTTCTTCTGTTCTTTCCTCTCACTATATGTTTTCTCTTATTGCTAAATAATTTTTTTTTTGTCCGATATCTTTCTCTATCTGGCGACTGTTCTCTAGTCTATAAATATTGCTGTTTGAACTGCTTTTCTTATTACATACGTTTGTTTGAAACAAACACGTTATTTTTTGTCAGTTGAACAAGCTATTTCAAAACATCATAAACAATTTCTTATTTTTAATTATTCATTATGCCAAAACTAAATAAGCGTCGATCTGTAGGACGTATTTATGCACGGAAGTAGTGATATGATCAACGAGTCTCACCAGAAAATGAGAGTGTATCAGAAGAAGAAGAAATTACCCAGGATAATGATGATAATATTGAATTTATTCGCTTTGCTGATAAGAGGAAAATGGATGATATTGGAGATTTGTTCGAATTCATTAAAGATAAAATTGGTTTAAAAATTGTTACTATATTTTTATATATGACACTTCGTCATTTTGGTATAAGTTGGGTTAAATGTGATGATTTTTTAAAAAGGATTGGTGCATTAACGACTAAAACAGCTAATAAATGGGCTAATATTTTTTTATCTGGTAGTTTTGATGAATTTATTAGCGAAGGTCGAGGTGGAACACATATTCCCAGTTTTTACGATGTATTTCCTGATATTGAATTATCAGCTGAAAATTATTTTGTTCAACAATGTTCTGCAAAAGCAGCTGATTTTGATGCATTTGATTTAGCAAAATGTATTGATGAACAGTTTTATATGATAACTGATATTAAAAAAGATCCTAATGATTCATTAATTCGTTCAGTACAATCATGTCGTTTGGACCTTCGAAGATGGGGCGCTCGTTTTGAATCTAATTCGCAACGTCCCTACTTTGAAGGTCACGAACAGGAAGACATAGTCCAACATCGTACAGAATTTTTACAGCATTTTCTTCCAAAAAAAGATTCGTATTACTTAATAACCGAAGGTGCACAGCCAAAATGGCAAATCCCAACAGTTGAGACATCAACTATTCTGATCTGTATGTTGTGATAGACTAAAAAGGACTTCCTCTAAATATTGTTTTGCTTTTTCTGCATTTTTCCCTTTTAGTTCACGATAAAAGTACCTTTCGAAGCGGTGAGGTGTCAGCTAAACGCTGGTTATACAATGATCAGGCGTCATTTTATTCTAAAGGTCGTGGTAGATCTAATATGTTGTCAGACGTTTCGGTCATGCATCAGTCAGGTCCATTTTTTCAATTAAGTCCAGCTGAATATAATAAAGCATTAAAGAAATATCCAAAATTAGATGAAGAACAAGATGTTGATTATATAGAATGTCCTGCTAGTGCATCTGTGCACGTTAGTTCTGATGGATATTTTGACAATTCAACCATATTAGCACAATTCGAGCGATTATTTAAATTACTAGAATTCAAAGAATGTTTTAATAATCACAGAATTGAAATAGTAGTGGATAATGCTCGTACTCATTCAACTCGTGCTTATAATGTATTAGATTTCGGAAAATGAATTTCAACAAGTTGTCCTGTATATCAACTTCAACAGATGGATGATAAGAGTGTTACACAATCATTATCATGTTATTTTCAGCACGGTTCTAATCCAGGAAAATCCAAAGATTTATTGCAGATTGCAATGGAACTTAACTTTAGTCCTTCACCAAAAGCAAAATTAAGTGAGCTACGTCAGCTACTTGCCCATCATCCAGCATTTCGAAACGTAATTTTGTGCAGCTGATACAAAATCTTTAGAAATATCTTTTCTTTTTTCCTCCCTTAGATTTCACGATTAGAACAATTGACACAAAAATATGGTGTAACTGTATTATTCTGTCCTAAGTACTATTGCGAAATTAACATTATTGAAGGGTGTTGGGGTCATATGAAGCAGTTCGTATGAAAAAGAACCGATCAGAAATATCCTACCATGATAAGGCTGATCGAAGAGTCACGAATCAATTTTCGAGAGCAACAAGTTCATCTTAAACTTTTCCGAAGATTTTGGAAATGTTTAGAAGCATATAATCAAGGAAAAAGCTACAGCGAAGTTCTTCAACTATACTTTAGCAACAGCTGTACGAAAGCAAACAAAGGACATCTTATAGCTAGGAAGACTAATTTGAGTACTAAACACTTTATTTTTCTCATTCCTTCGTTTATCTACTCTCTCTATTCTTTTATTGATATTTTTGTAAAAATTATAGCGATACATCCGAATTCTTTCATCGACGTTCTTTTGAAATTATAACGATATACAGAAACATATAATAGATCTTATGAAAATACTATAGATAAGCAGTAAAATGGCTAGACAATATTGTTTTTTTGATAAAAAATAACTTTTAGAATTTTGTCCAACTAGCTTCTAGTAGTCTTTAAGTTATGTCTATCGAATTCTGCTTGATTTTTTACCTATATAAAGATAAAACCGTTAATCTATAGTGAAAAATGAAAAATATATCTAAAAATGGCTTAGTCGTTTACCAAAAAAATTTAAAAAATAATCATATATAAATGTGGAAACATCGGATTTAAATCCGAATGTTGTGTGTACTTCAAAAAGTGAACTGGACAGATGAGTCATCCTAGCATGTGTACGCATCAAAACTATCCTAGCGAGCCCCTTCTATTAAAACTTGATTTGTATCGGTTACTGTTCAACCAACAGGGTTTTGGAACAGATATAGCTCAGATTTAAACTCTTCGTCCTGAATTACCCGCAGAAAGTCGTTTTTCCTAAAACTTGATTTCTATTGGTTACTGCTCAACCAATAGGATTTCGAGGCAAGTGGAGCTCAGATTCGAGTTCTCCGCCCTAGAAAACCTCGAAATATCATCTCTGTGATCGGAAGATGGAGTTTTACTTTTCGATCAATTGGAACGTGGACAAAAAGAGAACCGATTTCCGTTTAAGTATCTTTGAAATAGGTGACTTAGCCTTCTTGTTTCTCAATGTTTTATATACTATTATGTAGCTCGTGAAATTCTCTATCGAATGGTATATAATAGTTGAAGTTTTCTTTGATTATGAGAGGAAACGTTTTTTACGAAAAGCGGGATAGGTCAATGTTCGCATAGAAAAGTATAGGGAATAATGACTCTTTTTCCGATAACTCAGCAATGGCTCGACGAATCATTCTCACCTACGAATTCGACCTAGATATTGATGAGACGAAACTGTGTAGGAACTTTCATCGCGATCGGACTCTCCTTTCGAAATTTATCATGTAAACGGACGGACGGTCGGACACACTGACCGATTCTATAGTGTACTCACTTTTTGAGTACACAAAAAGGATTTTCTGGACAATAAAATAAAATTAAAAAAAAACTAAATGGATACTTTTGTAGCCCATGTTCAGACAATTCTAATGAGATAAGATAGTTGCTTCTGTCTCATACTACAAAAAACAAGATAGGTTCACAAGAATGGTCACTGATGTGTACTATTGAGCATGTCGAGGTATCTATATTGGACAAGACTTTTTAAACTTTTTTTAGCTTTAAACCAAATCAAATAGTATTTTATAACTTAGTTTTTCACGCTAATTCAGAATATGATATTTTTACAAAGTTTAAGAAAATAAATGTCCTTAAAATTTCGTCATTTCTGAAAAAAAGCGCGATAGAGTTGTATATATGATATTTTTAGTCATTCAACTTTTTTGGCGCATTTCTCAGCCAAACGATGATCAAATCGAAATAAAAACTATATATTCCTGACCAGCTTTTCATGCTCTATTAAACCATATATATATGAGCGAAAAACAATTCACTGAAATTTTGTATTTTCGCGATCTTACCTCCAAGTAGCTATCGGAAAGTTACTAATGGTAATCTACGACAGCCCTCTGGAAGTTACTTATAGTACTCTGAGATAGTCTTCAATTTTAATTGAAGAAGAAACGTTTACGTTCATGAGCATGAGCTGTACACCCTTAGAGGTTACTCTAATATATAAACTTCGTAACCTAATTATGTATTTACGCTCTTCATTAGTGATTAATGTTGTTGCAGCTAAGTGAATGACTTAATCCAGGATTCCCGGTACCGGGAATGACCGAGCCTAGGAATAACCTAGCCCGGGATTCCCTGTCTGTTTCCTGGCTCGGCGCATTCCTATTGAGGAACTATAGGTAGCCCTCTATGATAGCCGTTGAAGAATGATGAATACCCTCATTTAATGGGGCTTGAGGAGCTACAGATGCCCTATATATTAGTCCTTGACGACCTAAGAGAACCTTTATATAATGGGAGAGGAGGATGACGACCAAGGGTACCACATTTAATAGCTCCCGACAACCAATGAGTACCTCTATATAATAGTCTTTGACGACCTTCGAGTACCCTCATATGATAGCTATTTAGGACCTATTGGGTCCCCTATATTGTAGCTTCTGAGAAGCTGTGGGCACCTCTATATGATATCCCTTAGGGTTTTATGGATAGTGTCATAGTATATCATTTGTGGACCTACGGGTACCATTATAAGATAGCCCTTGAGGACTTATGAGGACCATTATATGATAGTTCTTCAGAAACTATGGATAACCCTATATGACAGATCTTTGGAACCTGTGTATCCCTATATGATAGCCCTTAGGGTCCTCTGGGTACCCTCATAGGATAACTTTTGAGGACCTATGAGTACCCATATATGATAGCTCTTTGGGATCTCTGGATCATAGCTTCTCAAAAGAGATACTTTTGAAAAAAAGCTAATAGCTACTTAATCAACCTATATATACTCAATGGTTTCTTATAGCTACTTAATCAACCTACAGCCACTTAATATTCTCCTATAGCTACTTAATGTTTTCCTATAGCTACTTAATCATCCTACAGCTACTTATTGATCATACATCTACTTAATATTAGTTACGTGAAGTTTCCTATGACTATTCAAATATCCTACATGTATGTAAATATCCTATAGCTATTTACAGTCTGCGTACCGATTTAAAACTCCGCAGCCATTTCAACATACCACAGCAACTAAAAATTCATAGCTAATGATAAAAACCAATAACTATTTATAAACTAATAGCTGTTTAAAGAATAGGAAATATTTCTTTCGCTATTTTATAACTATTGTAACCTTTTCATAGCTATAATAATGGTTCTGTAGATATTGAAAAAAATTGCCACGCAAGATTATTTGAATAGCTAATAGATCTCTACAATAGTTACGTACTTTTTTTTGTATGTGAATTACAACTCCACATTATTCTCTTTTTTGTTTTCTCGCTGTTATGTGAAAATAAAATATTTCTCATAATTTTATAAAAAATCTATATATGAAAGGCTAATAATATTATGAAGAAGAACACCTGAATATATCTATACATACGTATGTTTATATAGATAGTGTACACGGAATTGAATTTCATTGCTTTTGAAAACAATTTCGAATTCAAACTTAGTTCATTCTCACATCTATCTTGACTATATTTTCTTATCAATACCTTACAATCTTACGTATACATATGTAACAAAAAACCTAGTTTAAATTCGTATTAAATTTTAACAAAAATATTTTTTGCGAATAGGAAAGAAACAAAAAGATTTTGTACATTGTCTTAATATTCAATTCATCTATAAACATAATTGTTTCTTGAAAACTAATAACAATACGTGTATATCAAGACAAATTTTTCTGTGAACTAATTCAGATAACCCACAACCAACCCCTGCTCAATCGATGGTCACCGATTTAAGTCATTTATAAATACATTATAGAGACTAGTGTTTGATAAGCTTCTACACAAGCCGTTTTAAGAAATGTCGCTCCGTTCTCAAGTTATTAAACTTTTTCTGAGATCATCCCCCGTCAAAAAATAATATTTTTTGTGACTTTTTTCTGCGACTTATATCTCTTTAAGAGTACATTTGTTTCGCTTGAACTTTTTACTGTAGGTCAATCCTTAGTTGAGGTATTTTTCATCAAAAAATGACCTCGATCGG